TCACTTTTTTATTAAAAAATAACATACATGCCACTTTTAATAAAAAAATGATGTTCATCACTATAAAAAGTTATAGAAATCAATTAGGTGATTGAAAAAAAAAAAGTGATAAACACTAAAAAAAAAAGTGACAATAAAAAAAAAAAAGTGACACTAAAAAGTGACCAACTATCACTTTTCAAAGTTAAGTGTCATTTTTTGATGAAAAAAATGACACGCAATGTCATTTTTATTGAAAATTGAAAAAGCAACAAACACTAAAAAAAACTGACAAAACACCAATAAAAAACAAAACAGACATGGCAAGTTTGGTTGAAGCCAACACAAAGAAACGGAAGAAAGTGGGATTCTCAAGACCAATAGGCTAGTAAAACACAAAAACTTGGGGATAAGTCTATTAAAAACTTCAACAATTATACATGGATTAGCATTCCTCGGGCAGCAAAGCCTTCAGTCCAGTCCAGTGCAGCATAACATCAATCCCATCACCATCCTCTATTTCCAATTGTAAAGAATAAATTTAGAAAGTAAACTTTTTTCTTTAGATTATAAAGCGTGCAAGAAACATGAAGAGGAAATGTAGAGAAATTGCAAATGTCGTGGGAAAAGAAGAAATCAATCAAACAACTAGGGACAAAAAGACCCAACAAACCATGAACTCCAATTTTGATCTCTAATCAACAAGAAATTCCCAATTATCCCCCCAAAAACTTCATCACTTTGTCTTTCTTTCCATAGTTTATTGCAACAATATAATACTGCAGAATAGACTGCTCTAATCTCCACAGTATAGTGAACAGTGCACAAACCGTGAACTCCAATTTTGATCTTTTTCCATAGTTTATTGCATAATTCACATCAGTTGCTCCAAGTTCTAGTAAAGCTTTTACCACTTCTCTACTGCAATTTTCAACAGCATAATGCAAGGCCAATGCTTTATCGAGATTTAGGCCTTCTCCCATAACCATCAGCTTTACAAGTTCGACATCTAATGAGTCGAGGGCTCGTCGCATGTGACGAATTTTCTGGTCCTCGAGATCACTGGCGGAGCCGGTGTGATCATGGTGGTGGGGCATTATGGACCGGCAGATGATGGAGGACTTGAGGCGGAGCTCTTCGATCTTGGCTACGACATTGATGGGGAGGTGCTTGGCCAGAACTCAAAACTGAATTGGGGGAATTAGGGAGTATTAATTACGGTTGATAGAGGTTTTAATTTGTTTTGAGTGTATAAATCTAATTTGTCAATTTTTTAGAGTATGCAGTCTAATTTTCCCTTAAAAAAATTCGAGGCCCTTTAATTTTTGGGCCTGAGGCATGGGCCTCACTTGCCTCTGCCCAAAACTAGCCCTTGCTATTATCTGAGGGACAAGTTTCATCACAAGGACAACTGAGCTTGCCTGGAGGAGCCTTTTAAGTCTCTTTATAGTATCGATTGATTTGTTTCATTAGAACCTTATTTATGAGTTTGTTTATATATTTCGAAAATGGCTGTTCTGGATAGTCTGCCCAAACTTGTGGCAATTATACTTATCAAAAAGGATGTTTAATTTTATCCATGAGCTTTTAACGTGAGTGTTGGATCTTGTCATGGATATTTGTTAGAATCCTAGCAGCTAGAATAACAGCACGATGGTCTCAACTCCAGTATCACAAATTAACTCTCAAGCCAATGTTCTCGAGCAGCACCAATGTACCAACATATATACATAACAGTGACAAAGAATATCAAATAAAAATCTGATGTAGTGATCAATAATAAACATCATTATATGTTGTAAAAATAGACGGGGTAGTTTTTGGACAAAGTGATACCGCCATCCTAACTAATAATGTGACGCCCCACCACAAAAGTGTGTTAACCTTTTATATCAAAACTCGACTGCTCTAGCAAGTTACTTTGAAATTAATAAACCAAACCCAATAAAGAAAGAAGAAAGAAGAAAGTATAAACTATTGACTAAATTTCAAGTATGTGATAAGTGTATTTTATGCATTTATTTAGGTTGTTAAATATGAAGATTTGAAAGTAGTTGTTTCGCACGGATTATCAAGCATCGCTAACAATTAAAAGATGGTTCAGACGATTGTATAAGGAACAAACCTCTCGAGACAAAGTCTCAACGAGTGGTGCTTTATTTATGAATATTACAATTAGGAAGAAGCAAAATGCCTCCAAAGAGCACAAGCACACAAAGTAATTTGAAAGTTGACGCTAATAACTAAACGAAATGAAATTACATAATTCTCCGTTTGAGAGTGATTGACTCGGGGCATTTCCTTATATGTTTTCTTTTTTTGTTTATACTCCTTTTGCCAGTTTTCCTAGTAAAACCGTTTAGAAACTGCTTGTCGCTCTATAACTACCCACTTGCTTCATAATAGCTGACGTGGAACCGCCGTTTTTAAACTGCTGCTATTGCTCCTCTCTTTTAACTGCTTGCAACCGAGATATTTGGACCTTGGAACGTGATAAGATTGCTCAACAATTGCTTCAATAACCGTCGCTTTAAATAATAATAGGATGCTATGTTCGCTCAGATCTTCAGCATCTCGAATGCTTGGGCGAGAATGGGACCGTCGCTCTGAGCGACAATAAGGTACTTCATTCGCTCAAACCCTGTTTAACGCCCCAAATTTCCATTAATCTGGAGTGTGACAAAAATCTACTTTTCTTTTTGTTAAAAGCGGAACGAAACAAATTAAAGACATTCTTTATTTTTAACAATAAATATCAATTAAACACAATATCCGAGTTTCTAAAAATATCAAACATACTCAAATGATTAATTTACAAACAAGTCTTTGACAATTAAATTTAAAAACATAAAAAAATATTAAATGGTTATTTGCTTTTTTCTTTGATCCGATTGGCAACCCGTATCACTATTTCGACACAATTCCATTCGTTCCGGACAAACCTGTAATGAGTAGGGGTGAGTATATGGAAATACTCAGTATGACACGATTAATGGTGCAATTCCGAATAAAATATTAAATCATGCGTCAAAAATATCATACGTCATATCATATCTTTAGAAACCGGTAAGAGGTCATAATATATCATATCTTTGGTACCGGATGGCCATTTCATATCATATCATAACTTTCATAAGCATAATATTTATCAACATAAAAAAATAATTTAAACGGGACAAATCACTTGTACCTCGTAATCCTACCTCGTCAGATGAAATAACTTTAACGTAAATAATGAGTTCACGTTCCGAAACTTCTTAATTTTTTGACTGCGTGATGAATAAAATCAGCATGCTCTCTCTCTCTCTCAACNGTCTTGATTGCGTGCAAAAATAAAAGCACCACATCTCTCTCTCTCTCTCTCCCTCCCTCCCTCCCTAATGTGTGTACTGTGCATGTGTTTTCACCCAATATATATATATATAATAAAAATCCTATCCCAGTATCCCTAGTCTAACAATGTTTGATGCGGTGGGGGTAGGTTAAGAGTTGGAGATGTGTACCACAAGAATATGGATAGGGTTTCGGTATGGAAAAATTCTCAATTCCAATATTCTATTGAATCAACAATTTCTTCTTCCCTATCTAATCGACACGTGGCAACCTGTCCCATTCATATCCCAAAATCAAAGCAAATAAATCATTTTAAAACAAAACTACCAAATCAAAACCACCACTTTTCCAACACCCCAGATGTGGCCACCTATAGCAATTTAATATTTTATTTGAGGCATAATCAAAATACTAACAATTTCTATAAACTGTAATATCTTGATTTTAACTTATTCGAATTACTATTTTCTCGAGCCTAAAATGCATAATTAATTACGAGTTATCCAACGAGTATAATATTAACATACTTATTTTTGCTCTATTGAAATCTAATATTTAACCCAAATATAATTGAATTATCACTTATATCACTTTAGCCCTAACTTTTCAAAATGTAGCATATAGTACAATTAAAATTTTCTATAAATTTTCGGGGTGTTACAATCTCCCCTTCTAAAAAAAATATTCGTCCTCGAAAATCGAACATATATGTAAAATCTCTTTGTGCATTTACATTGTCTAATCAATGTTAAAAGAATGACATATCAAAATATGAAGATAACACATAATTTTGTTAAACAAAAATAATTTTCATACATTGGATCAATTGGAGAGTGGTCGAATAGTGTACGTCATGTGCCAAATTTTTTTTTCCATAACAAACAAAAGTCCCTTTTTTTTTTCAAAAGATGAAAGGGAAAAGAAAAAAATAAAAATTTCACTGTTCACGTGAACAGTGACGCGCTGTAAATTTTTTTTTTTTTGAAAGATGTCTACAGAATTGATTTTACAACTCTAGGCTCTGATACCATGCTGTAACGCCCCAAATTTTCATCAATATGGAGTGTTACGAAAATCTACTTTTCTTTTTGTTAAAAGCGGAACGAAACAAATTAAAGGCATTCTTTATTTTTAACAATAAATATCAATTAAACACAATATCCGAGTTTCTAAAAATTTCAAACATACTCAAATGATTAATTTACAAACGAGTCATTGACAATTAAATTTAAAAACATAAAAAAATATTAAATGGTTATTTGCCTTTTTCTTTGATCCGCTTGGCTGCCTACATCACTATTTCGCCACAATTCCATTCGTTCCGGACAAACCTGTAATGAGTAGGGGTGAGTATATGAAAATACTCAGTAGGACACGATTAATGGTGCAATCCCTAATAAAATATTAAATTATGTGTTAAAAATATCATACCGTCATATCATATCTTTGAAAACTGATAAGAGCTCATAATGTCATATCTTTGGTACCGGATGACCATTTCATATCATATCATAACTTTCATAAGCATAATATTTATCAACTTAAAGAAATAATTTAAACGGGACAAATCACTTGCACCTCGTAATCCTACCTCGTCAGATGAAATAACATTTCACAGAAATTATGAATGCATGCTTCAAAACTCGTCCAGATCTTGAGTGCGTGAGACAAAATAAAAACAGCATGCCTTGGCCCTCTATCTACATGTGAAGAATTATTCTTGATTGCGTGCAAAAATAAAAGCAGCACATCCTCTCTCTCTCTCTCTCTCTCTCCCCCCCCCCCTAACGTGTGTACTGTGCGTGTGTTTTCACCNGTGAAATTAAATAAGTCATTTAATTTCACCTTTCATTTAACCTATCATTTAAAGCCACCTAAACTGTGTTTCCATCCCCACTGGGGATGAATAACATTACTCATGGAAAAATTCTCAATTCCAATATTCTATTGAATCAACAATTTCTTCTTCCCTATCTAATCGACACGTGGCAACTTGTCCCATTAATATCCCAAAATCAAAGCAAATAAATCATTTTAAAACAAAACTACCAAATCAAAACCACCACTTTTCCAACACCACACACGTGGCCACCCCTAGAAATTTAATAATTTATTTGAACCATAATCAAAATACTAACAACTTCTATAAACTGTAATATCTTGATTTTAACTTATCCAAATAAATATTTTCTCGAGCCTAAAATGTATAATTAATTACGAGCTATCCAACGAGTATAATATTAACATACTTATTTTTGTCCTATTGAAATCTAATATTTGACCCAAATAAAATTGAATTATTACTTATATCACTTTAGTCCCCAACTTTCCAAAATGTAGCATATAGTACAAATAAAATTTTCTATAAATTTTCGGGGTATTACACCTTGGGCGTCCTGCAGGCTTGGGCGATAATAATCTTACGCTTATGGGCCTCCACTATATTTTACAATGGTCTCATTTGGGCATGTTCCTCAAATTCCCTAATTGGGCTCCATCTCTTGGACCATTTCATTGGGCCTCATTTTTTTACATCAACAATTACTCCCCAATATGGCAAAATTAATATCAAGTATTAATCTTATACCATATTCTTCCTTTGTATTTTCTGGCAATAATTCAAAATCCCAAAAGGGCGAAGAATTCCAACTATTCTTTCTGTTTCGAGGTAACCCTGTACGTTCTAAAAAGTGTACCACACATAACCCCTATAAACCAAAGGGCACACCACTTCATCGCGCCATTACACTCACGTCTTTACATT